CCAATTGATTCTCTGCTCTGACTCATGGCTCCCCTGGTTTATATAACCAAGCCTCACTCCAGCCCTTATTGTCAGAGTCCTGCCACGAAGCCTCCAGCCGCTGTGCTCAGGGCTCCCATCCCTTCATCATCCCCCCTGGTCGATGGCCATGCAGGTCTGAGCCCCTTGGGATGGCAGCCTGGCCCTGCACTCCCACACCCAGGCACAGACCTCTGCATTTAGCTGTATTCAAAAACATTCTGTATGGATTCAAACTAAGAAGGATTCAAATGTGCAGCAAGCAAGCCCCACAGACTGCTATCTTCATCATCCACAAATTTAACAGCAGTGACTTCAAATTTACTTCCTGATCAGCAATGAAAATGTCAAATTACAGTAACTAATTTTAGGAGATCTTGCAGTTAACTAGCTCTATTCCATTTATTCTATGACCTGCTGGTATTGAAGACCAATTTTTGTATTTTTGTTCTTTTGTTATGGCATTATGCAATATGAAATAAAACCTGTTTTTCAGGAAGCCATTTTTAAAAGTGTTTCCAAAGGGAAAGGTTGTTCAGTCTAAAAATAAATGGTTCGCTTTGATTTCCTGCTTTAAAAAGAAACCCAAATTTCCATTTTACTTTTAAAAAGTAAACGAACTTTCACAAAGACAAGTCATTTCAGTCTGAAATATCAAAAAGTATTGATATGACGTCTTAAAATGTCAGATTAACAGCCTGTTTGCAGCGTGCCTCATCAGGTTTGTGCTGAATCCTGGCTCACAGATAGGCGGGGGTATACGTGGTGAGGGATATTTTTGGGGTGGAGGGATGGGATCAACAGGCACTGCCAGCACTAGCTTCTCTCCTACAGGTAAGTGCCCTGAGCTGCTGTGGGGCAGGAGGTGCCAGCTGCCTGCTGCTGCCTCACAAATCTAACACCCCTGCACCAGGAAAGGGCTATTTCAGTGAGCTTTGGGCTGTTTTTCTTTTTAATATACATTGGGTTTTAATCCAGCCATAAAGGACTGTTATTCCAGAGTTGTGTGGACTTGGAAGCAAACAAAATGGAGCCCTGTAGATTTCGAATGTGCAAGTGTGTAAAAGAGAAAAGCTCTGAGGAAGGAAACAATTGAATCTCTTCATCTCTGCCTGGATCTTAGGAATATTGTAAGGAATTGTAACTTCAACTAACAAATTGGCTTGACATGACCCATTAAGAACAAAATCGCAACATGGGGAACTGTGGGTAATTCTCTGCCTTCTGTTTTCTTGGTTGTACTGTAAACTATTCTCAAAATGTTAAGGAGTGCCAGAAATGACATGGCATTAGTGCCTCCAGCAGGACCTAATTTCCATCCCATTACCCACCACGCCAAGCGCTGTGATGGCTGCACATCCCGAGGCCCAGGCCCAGGCAGGATGGGTATGGCAGCACAGCACCTTCTGACTATGGGTGCTGGGGGACCTCTTTAATGGAAAAAGCCATTCTCTGATAATCACCACCGAAGCTGCATCATCATTACTGCGAGATCTGCTGCTCTGTACCACTCCTGGAGGGATACTGCAGTGCATTTTTATGAGGGAGAGTCAGACCTCCTCTGCCAGCACAGCTGGAAGGGGATTTCCATAGGAGCCAAGGGAAAATCCAGGTAGGGAGGGAATGCGGGCAGGCTTGGGTGGGGCCAGCCACAAGTGAGGACTGGATCTCAGGGCTTCCTTAGGGCTAAGGGAGCTTCTACCACCTCCTGAGAGTGATTTCAATGCCCAGCTTGCTGCCAGAGCTCCATTTTCCTGAGCATTTCCCCCACAAGGTCCCCTCAGGATAGAGTTTGGATAGAGCCCCGGGGGATGTCCTCCAGGAAGGGTGGCCCATAACAGCCCTGGGAGGCATCCCATGAGCGGGAAGCCATGGCTGGGGCAAGTGGCATCAGGTGGCACTGTGTGGCAGAGGGTGGGCACAAGGCATACGCACAGCTCTCAATTTCCAGCGTGCAGTTCTGCTGGTCCAGCGGGTACCTTCGCAGGTCCATCATGCAAGCGGCTGTGGTGGTGATCCTGAAAGGCGAAGGGAGGAAAAAAAATTCAGTTGT